CGAGAATATCTAGAATATCTCACTGTCGTATGGAAAATAATACTTTCCAGAATTTTTAGAAACGATAGAAACTTTGTATAAATGCATGTCTATGCATTTCTCGGAATGCATTTCTCGAAAGAGAAACATGTTCATATGAAAATACGAGCTCTTCGAAAGATCCCCATTACCGTGGAACTTCTCAAAATTTCGTTATTTCATGACGAGAAATACCGGAAAGACGTAGAATATTTTTCTACTAAAGAAGATACGAATAACAAACGTTGCTTGCAACAGCACTTTCAAGACCACCACGAAACTTTCAAATCAATTTCACAAACTAATAATCGCGCTTGATCGTTAAAAAATTCGCGTATCACCACCACATAATTTCAAATACTCGTAAAATCTATTGCAGCTATGAATTTTCGAGTAACTTTTATTATTCCCTCTTTTATTATTATTATTAATTCAACAAATCATTGAAAATTCTGCAAATTTACTCGAACATATTTACTATGGCAATTACTCGTCATTCATCGTATAATTAACTAAAAAGAAAAAGAAAAAACTTTGCAAATTACAACCTAGTAAATTTAAACACTCGTGAAAATCTGTTATAGTTATATCTGGCACCGTGAACGACTCGTTAACAGCGGACTCACTAGCTCATCGAATAAGCGAAAGAAATCTCCAATCCATATCACTTAGGCGTCATCATCTTCGCTATCGTCGTCGTCGTCGTAGTAGTCGAACAAAAGCTATGGCAGTGTGTAGAAATAATCAGAAGAAACCACAATGCAGAAGAGTTTGAATCGATGTCTCATTTATTCACGATCATCGATCAATGAGAACCAGAACATTTCAACGTGGGTACAACCTAATAATGGATTGTTAAAAGGTACTGATGGCACGTCAGTTTTCTTTCAAATTGAAAGGGAAGTTACCTGTGTTCCTAAATGATTCGCCAAGTTGAAAAAGTCTTGTAAGATAATATATAATTGTTTTATTATAAAGGGACAATTTTATAAACGCACTTGACATCACACCGTGCATTACAGATTTTATTTACCAACGTAGGGACCTGATCTTTGTTCGTGCAAAATTATTAAGAATTTGTTTCGTTTGCACCATTTTTTATATTTTATATTTTTACAGTGAAAAACGTCGATAAAAAAAAGATATATGTGTTGAATATTTTCCTGTAGATTATCCTATACCAAAGTTCCGTCAAAATTTATGATTACGAAACTAAGATTACGATAATGATAATTAAAGATCGTTAATAATAGCTTAAATTTAGTATCGTAAATTTCCATAATGACGCATGCATCGTAGCATTTTTGAATATTCCTGGAACTTCAATTGAATATATAACTATTTTTCGATGACTCGTAAATTTTGTGTGATGAAATAATAAATTGTAATAATGTAAATTATATAACGAGTGTAATAACACTTTATGATACATTATAATGCTTTATAATACGTTACAATACATTATAATACATTATAATAAATTATAATACATTATAATAAATTATTTATATAATAGCGATCGGAAAATACATTTAATGCCAAATGATAATAAATTCTTGGAAGAAAAAAATAGTGAGAATACTCTTGGAAGAGCTATTCCTCGAACGAATATTTCCCGCAAAACAAAGATAAGATCATGGAAATGAAACGAATAATAAATTTATTATTAGAACAATGAATAATGAATTTATTATCAAATTTATACGATGAATATTCGTTGAAAAATCAATCCTCGAAAGGATAAATTTGACAGATATAAATACTTTTAGATTAAATAATAAAAAATAATAAAGATAATAAATAGATAAAAATAGATAATAAAAATTAGATGAAATAAATTCATTAATAGAATGATGAATAATCTTTGAAACAACATTTGTCGAATGAATTATTTAAAGTACATAATTATTGTTCAACAGGATAATAATAATTAGACGATAGAAATGAGATCAATAATATGACGAATATTCTGTGAAATAAATCTATTGTTATTGTTCGATGTTCTTGAAATTATTCAACAACCCTTCTTCCTATTTTCATAATTTTCAAAATTCTCCACGCGCCGTGTCAAGTGGACTTTATGTAACATCTTCAACAGCAACATATATCCGCAAATAGTCACGCAATTAAAATAATCATTAGTAATTAACGAATTATCTCAATTTTTCAAACATCGTTACACAAAAGAAAAAATAACGCGCAATAGTCGATGGCAATCAACACTGAGGAAAGATAAGTAAGTGAATGACACGAAGAAAAATTATCGAGCTACATTTCAGCTCGCGGAAGGGATGAAACATCGCATCGATTTCACAATTTTATGATTTTATCGGCGAGATTTATCTTATGACGTTGCTCGTACTTCGTACGTGTTGCGCGGTATTCGAGCAGACAAATTTATAGTTCGTCGTTCGAATCGATTAAATATTTTGATCGTATTAAGATCAGACCGGTTTCCACGGATTACCACGACTTCAATAACGATCGGATTAATTCGAGGCCGTTTGTCATTCGGGTTAAACTGAAGGAAAAACCTTCAGTCCGGTTCTAATGGTCTGTCGAACTGGTTGAATTAAGGATCTACCGATGCGTCAAATTAAGGATCTTAATCCGTTCGAGTGAATTTCATTACTCTTGAAAAGTGAAATAATTGGATGTAGAAAAATGATCGTTACTTGTGATTTTAATGCTTCTATTTGGAAAGAAAATACAGTGTCTAAAGATGAGAAATTAGTATGTTCTTAAATTATATTAATATTAAAGTAAATGTTAAATATTTGTCAATATTAAAGCAAAGATTAAAATAACAATATTAGTTTAATATTAATATTATTTAAACATTACTATTAATCAAGCTAAAGAATGCGGAGAGTATTACTGGTCACTTAGAGTTTTGCCATTTTGAAACACACTATGGTAAAAAAATAAAGAACACTATTAGATTCCGAGTTTTTATAGATTTATGGGAAATTTGAAAGTTTGTGCACAATTTAACTAACGAAATATAAAGCACCAAATTAAAATACAAAGGTTAATTTTAAAAGCAAAAGTTAGATTAAAGGGAAAAGAAGTTTATTATATAATACATGTTTTTAATGTTATATAGATAACAAGTAGATTTGATATGTAACAAGTAATTTTCTCCTAATTTATCAGATCATTGATTAATATATTATACTCACTGTACCAACCATATAATATATTACGTTATAAATTGATATATGATATTATATTATTATGATGTTATGTAATAATATACATCAATATTTATAGTAGTTAAAATTGATTTCGTTGTTCCTTTCGAAATTCTAATTTCACGCACCAAATTCCCAACCGTACACAATTGCAATCTTACAATTTGAAATTTCCAACAAATGACAGAAGAATCGGCCACGTAACGGGAAGAACATTTTTATTATAATTGTACGAGCGACAATCATTTTTCCTCGATTTAGTGAACGTCGTTGTTTTTTATTTCTTCGTTCGAAGCAATCAAGGATCATCATTCTTTTGCGCGGATACTCCAGAAATTGATCATTTTCCCGTAGATCTCAATCGAGGCGCGTTATATAAACGGCAACCACAGATTGACCAATTATTTCTCTTCCTGTTATTTCACAATGGGATTTTAACACCTCGAGAGATGTTGGACATATATCTGTTCATTCTTGTGTATAAATATGACGTTCGCACGTCGACAGGTATCAGTCAAGTATTCTGATTCTTTTAGAATTCTTTTTCACGCGAACGTGCAATATGAAAGCCATTTTGGCCATCAGCTGCCTATTCCTCGTTGCGGTGAGTGCAACGCGTGTATTTCATTGAATTTTAATATTTCTCTTGATCAAGGAATTACTACGGCTAGAGAATTCGTGTTAGTAACGTGGCATTGTTAACATTGACTAATAAGTGTTACCAATATATTTTATGTATGCTTTTGCAAGTATATGTGTGTGCGTGTGTGTGCTCTTTATTAAAATTTCCCGAGTCCAATATACGCTATTCAGTTCAATATACGAGAAACATGAATATGAAGTTGCGATGTTATATCTCGAGAAGTGGATTTCTCTGAGGAATGTTAAAACCTGAAAGTTTCCTCCATTCACTTTTCCACACGTTTCGTGTATCTTAAAATTGAAGAATCGAGTCAATTCTTTTTATCATCGTATTAGTTACTATAACAAAGTAGGCTGCACTACTATCTTGCAGATTGTGGCTGCGTCACTAATAACATTATATAATATCGACTACATAACTTGATTCGTGTAATATCGCTAATAATATTAGTTCAATCGTGAAGCTGAGAACACAGAACTGTAGAGCGAGATTGAAAGCTCGAGATTAAAAGCAACGTGCAGAAAATTAGAATTAGGGAAGTACGAAACAAGAGACTGAAAAATGAAAACAGACTGATCTAAAAAAGGAAAAAAGACAAAGGGAACAAAGATTTTAAAGTGAAACGTTCATTTCAGGCGGCGGTACGTGCTTCCGAGAAAAATGATGAAGCGTTAAAAATTTTGCAAGATGACATCAAAGCGTGCGCCGCAGAACAGAAAATTTCGGAAGGTAACAAGATACAATAATTATTCAATCCTTCTGAAAGTAATTCTCCAATATTAAAATCTGTCTTTAGATCAGTTAGATAAGTTCTTCGACGTAAACTTGGAAGGCGATGAAAAACAGACATGGGGATGCATTCAAGTGTGCGTTATGAAACGTTTGAATACCGTGAGTCATTTTCTTCCTTTCTAGCGTCGTTTCGTTTGATGCAACTTTTTTACGAAATTTAAGATTTCGAAGATCTATATATCATTTTTAAACTGCACATCATTTGCAAAAATACGGGATATTTAAATTTTTGTATTTCAATCCTACATTTGTCATCAGTTTAACCCAAAGAAGATTTATAATATGCCAAGACGATGTTCAAAACTCTACCGAAAAATTACAAATTGTTAGAAATATCGATAAGAACTTTTCCCGTATTTTCCTTTAAATTCGAGTTAAAAGCAGAGCTCTTATTGAAAATAAAATCAAATTTAATCATATTCGGAGAAATATAAAATCACACAAATATCCGCAATGAAAGATTTAAAAAATAATTATTCTTTTAAATTCTAATAAATTCCTTTTCTAATATACTGTACATATATATTGTACAAGCCAGTACTATGTTATAATAATTGAACACTTATTTTTAGTACAATACGAACAACGAACGTTTCTCCACTGATAATTTTCTGCAATTTTTCAAGTTTCGTATTCATATTTTTAATAAATGACTATAAATGCTTTATAAAATCTGTACAAACTTCTTCAATCATTCTGAAACTTCAACAACGAACAGATATACATACAAAGAACCACTTAAGTGTCAAATTTATTTATTCTTTTCATCGATGTCTAATAACCGTATATATTAAAATTAAATTAAAAAGATCGGTGTATTACTGCTCAAAATAATTTTCGAAGTGTCCAAAGTTGCACGATAGTGTATACAATTATTGCATTTGTACTTTTACTATTTACGTTTAACAACCTTGAACTCCTACATTCACTGATATACGAATGATTATTTAGTTCGTAGATGGTCATATCGAACCAGAGAACTTTAGAGAAATCTTTGAGAAGAGCCCCAAAAATACACCCGACGATGTTACAGAGGCAATAGAAAAGTTGAAGAATTGTGTCGACGAAGGTAAGCAAAAATTGAAGTAAATTTGAAAGAACTCATTATATGAGGAGACGTCATTATATGAATTCTTATTAACTGCTTGATAATTGCAGTTGCGGAGATAGCCGACGAATGTGAGATGGCGTACGAGTTTTCACGTTGCTTTAAGAAATAACCGAAACTGACTAATTAAAAGAGATATCGACTTGCTCTCGATTTGTTCAATAGAAGCACACTGGAATTATTAGATAGAGAATAACAAAATTTGGCTTAGTTGTAAGATGAAGTACAAAGGCAATTGAATAAATATTTCACCTTTAAATACCAGAGCAATCATTTTTTAATTGTACCTCATTTCTTTTTCTTTTTTATTTTTTTTTTTTTTTAAACACATTCGTCTCGAACATTCAAGAAATTCATTAATTAAAAATTAAGTAAGAACGAAACGAGACAGTGCAACACTGTTTGCACATACTCGTCATTTTTTTAATTTCATCTTTATGTAATATTACATATTTCTAGCTATTTAATTTCTTTTAATTTTTTCTCGTATCTGTACTATATAATCTCGATTATCGTAAAATTCTTAGTATTCTTCGATCTCACTGACGAGGAATACGTGGAAATTATACAGTATGCTACAATTAATTCCACTGACAAGAAATATGTAATATTATTTATCAAAATACACTACCAACTAAAAAGTTTAGATACACTTACTGCATTTGTATTTCATGCTATATTGTTAATTTAATATTTCGTTGCATGATAATTCTGGCGAACATGTCCATTTCTTATTCACAATATACGAAAATATTCTACGCAAGAACAGTAATAGCATTGTAAAGTATAGTAAAATTTATTACTATACTAACAATAAGTATAGCAAAATTTAATAGTGAAACTTAAATTTAAATTTCAATTGATTCTTAATTGAAACGCGAGAGGAAACGAAAATGAAATAAATGAATAAACGTTTCTATAATGCTGTATAAATACAATAGTTCAAACTTTTGGCTGACGTTGTTATATGAGTCGTGACTAAAAAATGTTGATCGGAAAAATAAGTAACCGAAGGTACTAATTATTACTTCGGTTACTTCTACGAAGTATATAATTATTTCGTATAACGTTTCGTGCGAGATGTAAATGATTCGAAACGATCAGTTAGCACGACAGATTTTTTTTTTTTTGGTCTTTCAATGATATATAATAGACTTTTTTCTACAATCCTATTTGCAATATAAAAATCACCGTCGTTCGCTAAGAAACACTCAGTTCTGGAGGTAAATTTTTGAAACGTGCTCGCTGTTCACCGAAGAATTAAATTTCAAAATGAAGAATATTGTCGTCTGTCTTTTGCTAACTATCGTAAGTAAAGTTCCTTCTGCGTATGAAATTCAGAATTTTTCAATTTGGAATTTTATTTCCACTTAATTTCAGAGTATTCCTTTAATTCCAATCAGTTTTTTGATTTGGAATTTGATTCCTTTCCTCTTCTTTCCCTAACTATTTTCCCAGAATAATTCTGATTTGAAATTTTGTTTTTTCTCTTTTCTTTAATTACTTTTAGTATCTCGATTTACAATTTTGTTTCTATTCTCCTTTTCAATTTGGAATAATTCAGAGTTTCATCTATTTCAAATGCATAATTTCCTGAATTATAGAAATTTCCCAATTTATAAATTAAATAGGTAATTTTCCGAAATTATTGGCCTGCTATTATCAATATTCATTGATTATTCAGACAGCTAGTCAAGCAGATTTCATCGATATGTATTTGGAGTTCTCAAAGGATGCTACTTTGGACTGTGGGAAAGAAAATGGCTTCACTGAAGGTTAATATCCTAATTACTTTTATATCTTTTCGACGAGTAGCTAAAGAAATGCGATTTTAGACAATGCAAGAGCGATATTTGACAAGGATGTGGAAACCGGATTGGAGAATGCTTCGTGTCTAAGAGCATGCATATTAAAGCAACTAGGAATGGTGAGTGAATCGAAAAGAAGTTCGAAAAATTCTCACAATTTCGATTATAAAAATTTTGACTCCGTTAAAATTTCAAAAAATAACGACTTCTTTGAAGAAATATAAATATTTTACTTGTGACATTAATATTTTCAAATATTGAAACGGTAACTTTTCCTCGAAAATTTAGAATAATTCGATTTAGAATATTATTAATTAAATATACCTCGAAATGAAGTTCATTAAGTCGCGTCGATGACCAAAAATTACTCATTATCAATAAGAAATATGTTGAACGTAATTATACTTCGTTAGACAAAAAAATTAATGGAGATTTTAAAGAGCCGGTGAGAAATTAATTATGATACCGATTTTTGCGTTCCAGTTGAGGAACTCGAAGATAAATATGAAAATGATAAAGGATTTCATCAGAATTGTGCACAAGGAAGATCCTGAAACGATGAAGGTCGGATTGGAGTATGCAGATCTTTGCTACGAGAAAGGTAAATCGCGTACATCTGTTTATTTAAAATGTAATTCCAAGTTAACACACTGTTCTGTTCGTTTTAGTCAAAGATATGACGGACGATTGCAAAAAGGCATACGGTATGATTGAATGTTATTTGGAGAAGGGTTCTACATTGATGTCTGCGTAGGAAATGTCTGCTTTGCATTTTTATGCAACCGAATCTCTCGGATTGTTTGTAATTATATTATTAGACTAGTAAAATAGAGATCTGTATATCGTGAAATCATTATCCAGTAACCAATAAACGTGACGTCACTTTTGAATACCGAAAATTTCTCAAAAATTTCGATGTCTTTCCTCCAACCGATCAAATTTCTCTCCCCGATATTTGTTACAATCATTTAATTTTACATTAAACTTATCACATGTCTTCTACCTTTCCAAAAATCGTGCCCTTTCCGATCAGTTTCTTTTCCACCGACTTTCAATTTCGAGTTACAATCATTATGTATAAGTTCACACCTTCTCTTTTAAAAATCACGCCTTCTTCGATTAATCTCATTTCCGTTGAATTTCTCTTTCTCTTTTTCAATTTCTAATCATAATTATTTTCATGTCACGTCAATTTCTTAAAAGGAAATTTTCTCGTCGTTTCTTTTACTCTTTTAAAAATCACATGTTTTCCAACTAATCTCCTTCTTAATCGAATCTTACTTTCAATTTCCAGCTCTAAACATTCGATTTTAACTTTGTCTCTCTCGTCAAAACTTCGTCCAAGAATCATGTTCCTATCGTTCTCTATTTCACTATATATGTCTTTCTTTCCATCTTCTCTCTCAATTTTCAAGTTATAATAATTTATTTTTCACCTTAGACTCCAGAAGACTTTACCACAATCTCCCTTATTCCCCCAAAAATCATTCCAAAACGGGTCTCCAATCAACGAGTTCCTGTTTCACGAAATCACCCAATTCTCCCCGTTCCTTCTCCTTTTTTCTTCGACATCCTACAATCAGAGAAATCGCTATGCTCGAACTGGCTCGTACCTCCCCCCCCCCCCAATTTGCTCGATTCTCAGAAAATGTGTTGCTTACCGGAGGAAGAAGAAACAAATAAATCAACGAATGCTCGATTGCACTGTCATTTCTAATCTCCTTGCGAAGATTAGATAGTACACGGGCGACGCGTTTATTACAGGATGGTTCGATCCGGTAATTTACCTTGAACGAGTCCTTCTTCCATGATCGACAAACGCGCAGCAAACAGTCATTTGCCCGCGACAAATTTGACGCAGCCGAACGGTGATTAGGCGTATTTCGGCCGTACTTGAATCAACCTTACGTAAATCGGCGTAGAACCGGGCCAATTATCTCGTTTCCTGCCGGCACGGCTGGCTGTCATACCTTAACACCAGCTATTGTCCCTGTCCGTTTTTTTCATATAAATATCGTCCCGTCGGGCACAGTGTCGCACATAGTGATATCGCTAGGGAATCACACGAAACCGACCGGTCCTGTTTGTGGAAACTGATTGATTTTCCTGATCGCGCATCGTTCAAAGATGAAGACTATTTTCGCTGTTACCTGCCTTTTGGCCGCCGCGGTAAATATCTCTTTTCAGAGTTTCTAGAACATCTGGGTTAGATTAAGCTAACCAGAAACTAATTGGTTTTTTTTTTTTTTT